TATATATATAAAAGTTAAACTCTTAAAAAACAAAGCAAACATGGACGAGGCAAACTTCTCTCTCTGTATATTTCTGTAAAAAGAATTAGAGGGGTGAGTGTGGGGTTTTGACTTGAACTGACACCCTTACACGCAACACTTCCAATAATAGAGAGTCGCAACAACCTGCGGTGGAGAGTGGCCTCTGCAAATCTCCCATTCTTCATCTCCTCTGACTGTCCCTCATACCAACTCGATCGGCGATGAGCGTATTACGCCACCACATATCGTCTTCCCTCTCTTTTGCGACCATAGTACTGATCACTTTAACCTTTCTTTTACTTTCTTCAGCTCTCGGCTTACACCCTACTCGTAATCTCAGTGAGTTCATAACCAATATCTACCTTGCTTTTCTAAATTCGAATTGACTCACGTTCTAGTGACTAATTAATTAATTTACTAATGGAACTACTATATATGTTTTGTGAAGCAGAGTTGACTGAACGGGTACTCCTTAGTACACAGCAGAGACTGAGAGGACCGGGTTCGTCGCCACCCACGTGTAGATCCAAGTGCGGACGGTGTTCACCATGTAAACCGGTTCGAGTCTCCGTTCAACCTGGTTTTACCTCTACTTTAGAGTACTACCCTGAAGCTTGGAGGTGCAAGTGTCGCAACAAACTCTTCATGCCTTAAGACTGTACTGCTCATGTTTCTTTCTTTCTTAATTCTCTACTTGCTAATTACTAAGCATTAATTAATTTCTTCTTCTCCTCTCCACTGTGTATATATAAATCAGAAAAGATCGATCCAACAATACATATTATCGTCACTCTTCGTTCAAATTAAATTGGACTTTTTGTTAGACTTTAACAGTTCTCATTAAAATTTGTAATTTCTCTTTCTCAAGAAAAACTTTGGAAAAGAACTACTCCTTTGTCTAGTTTGCACCACTGGAATTTTCTCTTTTTCATGCGAGGGACAGAACGTTGGAAACGTAATATTATTGTTGAGACTCGAGAAATGGCGTTAATTAATTCTTCACTCTTTGCTCA